GCTGATGTCTTCGTTATGTATGATAGTGTTTTGGCTTGGTGTGTGTTTTTATATATTTTAGTATGTCTTTTGTGTTAAGATTTTCAATAGTTATAAGTGGTTGTTTAATTGCGTCTTTTGCTAGGGTGTCCGCCAGTTCATTTCCTGGTATTCCTACGTGGCCGGGTATCCAAAGTAGTTTGAATTTGTTACGGAATTTTTGTAGCAGGTTGCGGGCGTGTGAAGTGTAATGTTCAATGTTGTTTGTGTTTTTTATTGCGTCGATGGCAGAGACAGAGTCAGAGCATTTGCAAAACTTGCCTCTTTTGTTCTGTAATATCTCGAGTCCCTCTACTATTGCTAGTAGCTCAGCGGAAAACAGTGACGAGTGTTGTGGTAGAAGGCCTATTTTTATGCAGTGTGTTTCGTTTGTGATTGTGAGGCTGGTAATTGTGTTTCTGTGCGATCCATCTGTGTAAATGTAGGTGAATTTCTGATTGTCTTTTGTCTTAATTTCTGTGAATAGTTTCCGAAAAATTTGTGGTGTTGTGTTTTTTTGTTGTATGTACTTAGCGTTGTGTCGATTTTTAACATATCAGTGTTCCAGGGTGGTATGGTCTGTGCACGTTGAGTTGCTTGTTTGAGGAGGAGGTCGTGGGCTTTGGAGTTTTCTATTATGCGGTCTATTGTTGATTTGTATTTTGGTCGTTTTGGTGGTCGGTATGAATTAAGAATTTTTATTATTGGGGAGTTTTTGGCGTTAATCAAAGATTTTATAATTTTTGTTGTTAGGAGGTCACGTCTATCTTCTAGTGGGTCTGCGCGTGCTTCGTAAAGTATGTTGTCGATAGGTGTCGTCCTGAATGCGCCAAGAGCAGTTCTGAAGGCAGTGTTTATTGGTTATTTTTTTTTCTTGTAGTTGCTATTGTAGTTGCTTCTTCTTGTAGTTGTTGTTGTTGTTTTCAGCTGTTTTAATAGTTGTTAGCTGATTTTGATGTTGTTGCTTTACTGTCTTAACTGTTTTTGATGTTGTTGTTGTTGTTTTTGATGTTTGCAAGATGTTTTAGGGTGAAACTTTAGGTTGAGACTGTTTGCAGGTGGTTTTTAAATGTGAGTTAGAATAACTTTTGATCGAGTTTTTATACCTTAAGGTAAACTAACCCTCCCTTTTCTATCTCACTCTTGATTTAGAATCGACCAATCATAGCAGCGAATAGCTTGTAAATAGGGCGGGTTGCAAGAATTATAAAGAAATTACTTGGCCATAAATAAAAAGTAAGGTTGGGATAGAGAGTAAGAATTGGAGGGTCAGGTGTCCACAGTTGGTAATATTAAAGGCTTATTTTATCTCATAGTTATAGTTAATGTTATTCTTACTAGTATTTATATCATCCAACGAATAATTTAAACAAATTTGGCCGAACCTTTTTTTTTAATTCATCTCTCGAAACTTGAGAGGAAACCAAACTAAAATATAGTTAAACACAACAATTTTTTTTTTATAATATGAAAACAAATAAATATTATGAAATTTTAAAACAAAAACAAAAACAAAAAAAAATACATAATAATGATATGATAAAACAACTTTCTTTGAGAGATTTTTAATTCAAGTATAATGTGCTTTACATCCTTCCTCCAGTAGAAGCATATTTATAGAATTTGTCCTAACCTCAGGGTAGTAAAATATAGGTCCAAGTATAACTCCATCGTCGAATCCGAAAAGTGTAACATTTATATCTTTATTTCTTTCCATAAATTTAGATATATCTGCAGGCTTAAGTGAAATTTCCAATCCAGTGAAATTTAATATGATCCCATTGACTTGAATGAGTTCATCATTTATATTAACTTTATAGGTTGTGCATCTGTTCGCATTCTTATTTAGATTACTTAATGCTGCGATTAAGTTCCATTTAAAACAATATTAGTCATTTATGTTTTTTACAGTTATAATTGTTTTTTAGTTTTCAAACAAGAGGGTAGTTTTATATATGACGATCCTCCTAAAGGTGAATACTGATTATTATTCATCTCCAATCGATTGAGATGAAGTAAAGTCCGTCCACTATCCCTTTCTTGGAATTCTTCCATCCTCACCATATGTTTTTTTTCCATATGTTCCTTGTATTCATTTTCAATATTGGAGTAGGCTTTAATTATTGTCATCTTACTTTGGAATGACTTTATTTCAATGCATTCTTTTTCTTCCTTCTAAAGTGCGAACTCTCCAAAAAGTTCAAAATTTATTTTCACCGATGAATAACTTTCCAACAATGGGTACAAGTGAGGTAGAAAAGCTTCTCCTGCTTCCTCCATAAATTGCGTTGGATAAATGAAATTTTTGTTGGTATTTTCATAGAGGTAGTGAATAATCCTTTCTTGGAATCCAGAACTGATTTTTTAATCCTTGAATCCACGGGTTCAATAACATTCCTCTTATGTTGCTCCGTTCGCAGATGATGACTCCACGAAATGTTACCCGATAGGGTAATGTTGCACTTTGCACAATACTTATTCATTTTTGTTTTGTGTTTTTTTTTGTTTTTGGAAATATTGTATTGTAATGTTATTTGTACTTTTACTTTATTATACTTTACTTTAACTGTAAAGTATTTTACTTTTTATCAATTTGATAAGTTCACACAACTCAAATCTGGGTAGTTCACAAGTTCACACAACTTTACTTTACAGTTAGTAAAGTCTTTTAATTTTTGTCAATTTGATAGGTTTACACAAATCGAATTCGGATGGAACGCAAATTAACACGACTTTACTTTAACTTGGAATTAGCGGAGGGTTCGCACGACGATTTTAGATGGTTCGCCCAACTCGAATAGTTTTCATAAACTGAACTACTTTCCACATTTCTCCTTAACACATACATTTTTTGAAAACTTAGAAGGTAACCGTTAAAAGTTATTTAAAAGTTTAAAAAATCTTTTTCAAATGCATTTTTTGCATTAGTTCTATGGAATGTATTCAAATCAATATATGTTTTTAACCAAGGCTTCTGAAAGAAGCGAAGACCTCTATGAATTTTTGATAGAATTAATCTATAATTATAATTTAATTTAATTTTTATAATAAATTATATATTTTTCTTTATCCCTTAAATCAGCACTTAATTTTTTTATTTTATCTGACTTTGTTGGTAACTGATTATTACTATTATCTGCAATCTCTGTAATGTTTATACTATCAAGTTCTCCCCTTGAAATCCATTCAAAACCTCCATATGGTAAAGATTGTGACATAGCCCAACCATACAAATTATTTGCACCCAAATAAATCAAATATGATGATTTTTGAGTACTATCAAAATTCTCAACATACTTGTTATTTGCTTTAGCATATCTACATGTAAATTGTACTAAGCCACCACGAATACCACTTTGAATAAATTTATACTGATCAATATCAGTTAATAAATCTAATTCAATTTTAGTACATTTTAACATAGCTTCCCATGATAATCCTGGTGTAGTGAAAAAATGCGCTTGATCGATTGAATAAATCTTTGTACAAAGTCCTTGGAAGTTTTCAAAGACATCAGACATTAATAAGTCATCTGTTTTCAAATATAATTCTAAATAATCTTTAAGATTCTTACAAGAAAACTCATTTCACACCTTTAGCGCGTGAATATAATTTTCAATTGAATATTTAATTTCGGTTAAGGAACTATAGAAAGCTTCCCTAGGTGGTAATTTACTTTCTTTTAATTTCTCAACTGAATCTTAATATTCATATGGAATACACCATTTCTTCGCATTAAGTTGAAATGATTTTCATTAGGGAAAAATTATCTTGTTATATACATTTCTTCACTATCTAGATTTGAAGATAATGTATCTACTGCAGAAGGCATAAATCGAAACGAATCTAGAAAACGCATTTCAAAGTTGTCACCATTACTTATAGTTATAATTTTTGATATTGAGATATATTGTCCCTTATTTAATGGAATTACCTTTATTTCACCAGGTATGATTGCCAAATCTTTTATAAATAGATGGCAATCATACCTGGTGAAATTGTGGAAAAAAACAGGAATAAATTTTGGAACTTTATATTTTAAATTGCACGCATTATGTGCTGCACCCCTAAATTTTCCTGTGAAGTGACAATGATCCCTAACTCTATCTAATAAAAGAAGAGTGTTACATATATGGCAATTATTAGATTTTTTGAAATCATCTTCTTCAACATCAGACATTACTATAGGAACAGTTTCTAAAATATGGTTTTCGTATAAAAAAGTTAAATTTTCTATTAGAGATAAGAGGAAATTCATTCCTGAATTGAATCTAGTTTCTAAAACAATCTTATCTAAACTGTTATCATGTGCACACTTTATATAGTATGCATATGAAACATGTTTATGTATATTTATAATATTTAAATTTAACGTTTCTTTTTTATCAATCGGTTGAAGGATGCATTCAAAATCAGCGTAAACTGTGAATGGTACCATCACTTCCTTTTGAATATTCGTGTACCGTAAAGTGGCATCCTTCATGTTGGGTAAGCGTGAGACTTTTTTACCACAGACTTCTGAATGTCGGTTGGCAGCATCTTCACTCAACGAATAATTTAAACAAATTTGGCAGAACCATTTTTTTGGTTTATCTCCCGAAATTTGAGAGGAAACCAAACTAATATAAACATAAACACAACAAAATTTTTTTTTTATAATATGAAAACAAATAAATATTATGAAATTTTAAAACAGAAACAAAAGCAACAATACATAATAACGATATGATAAAACTACTTACTTTGAGAGATTTTTAATCCAAGTATAATGTGCTTTACATCTTTCCTCCAGTACCAGCATATTTATAGAATTTGTCCTCACTTCAGGGGAGTAAAATATAGGTCCAAATATAACTCCATCTGCAATAATAGTGAGAATGCAGTATTCTCATAATTAGGTAGTAAGTGTTAATAATGTATAAGCTCATATTGAATGTACGTATGTTCATTAGAGACGGTCACACTGGACAAGCCTTCTTCCGTTTCAAAAGTGGCATCAATAAAGACACGCTTCAATACACGTCTTACAAAATCATTAATAATCTGCATATCAACGATTATTACATGGTGTCAGAAGTGAAAATATCAATTGCAAACTAAAAAGGAACAAAATGGAGCGAGTTCTACAAGAAATCGACTGCTTAATGCTGGCATATGAGTGGCCAAAATGGAAGAGGTCGTTTATCATGTACATTATGGCGTCAGGCAAAGACTCAGAGCCAGAAGCCAAAAAGATTGCCATATTCCTATGGTTGGCTGGATCAAAGGTCACGGAAATATACAGTACATTGTTTCCCAACGATGGAACCCCACATGGCATGGTCGGCACCATGGTGACGTCTTCAGACCCGTCTACCTCTGCCGCGGTCGTCAGCCGTACACTGGAGGACGTACTAAAGGCATTCGATGACTACAGCATCCCGTTCCGAAACATCACAATGGAATCCTACAAATTCAACGACATTGTTCAAACTGAGGGACAGCCTTTCATAGAGTTTGAGACGCAACTCCGCAAGCAGGTACAGTTATGTGACTACAAATGTGACTGTGGCCGAACATACGAAGAACGTATGTTGCTAGACCGCTTCATAATTGGCATTCAAGATAAAAGGCTGCAGCTTAAACTCCTTGAATCAAAAAACAAGAAACTCGAGGAGATCATCACTGAGTGCAAAGCCTTTGAAGCGGCCGCAAAAAACAATGAATTTCTACGGAATCCCCATTATGAAAAGTCCGTTGACGCAGTTGTCCGTCGCTGCTATAATTGCGGAGCAATTTTCAACCCGAATCATCTTTCCGAGTGCCGTGCAAAGGAAATGGCATGTTACTATTGCGGAAAAATTGGACATTTTTCCAAGTACTGCAAGCAGCAGAAGAAACGAGTGGATAACAACAACTACAACATCAGCAACAAACGAGTGGATAACAACAACTACAAAAGCAAGCAGATAGATGTGGATCGCAAGCAAACAGCCGGAGCAGTTATTAATTGGATAGAATCAGGTAAAAGTAAGGAAAGAGTATTTAAATCAGAGGCTTACATTAATGAAAGTAATTTTAGAATAAGCGAGTGCGGGCTAAACAGAGTAAGATGGACGATAACCTATAAAATAAATCGAAAAAGTGTTACGTTTAAAGTGGACACAGGCGCTGATGTTAACTGCATCCCAAGTGATTTAGTTAAAGAATTAAAACTTGAAGTTAAAAAAGAAAACATTCTAATTTTTGACTATAATAATGTTAAAGTTAATAATTTTGGAAAGGTTAAAGCAAACTGTTATGATCTGAATTCAAAAACAGGAAAATGTTATGAATTTTTAGTTGTTGATGCGAAATGTGAACCACTATTAGGTCTTAAGTCCTCTGTAGAATTAAAACTCATTAAACATTTAAATATTGATTCAATATGTAGATTACCTCAAACCAGGGAGGAATTTGTGGAAAAATTTAGTCAATTATTTCAGGGACTCGGTAAGCTGCAAAAGAAACAATCAATCATTTTGAAGGAAGGTGCTCAGCCTGTGCTCCATTACAAAAAAAGGTTCCCACAAAGTTTGTTAGGGTCATTGGAGCAAGAGTTAAATGCTATGGTAAAGGAAAAGATAATCTCCCCAGTAACATACCCGACTAGTTGGGTGAACAATTTGCAAGTAGTGGAAAAATCAAACGGAAAACTCAGACTTTGTTTAGACCCTAAGCCGTTAAATAACGCAATTGAAAGAGAACATTACCTTATACCAACAATAGATGATTTTATGATACAATTAACTCGGAAAAAGGTTTTTACTATCCTGGATCTGTCCCATGGATTCTGGCAAATGGAGCTGGATGAAGCTAGTTCAGATTTAACGACATTCATGACTCCATTCGGGAGATTTAAATTTAACCGGGTTCCATTTGGAATCAATAGCGCTCCTGAAATGTTTCAACGAAATATGGTTCAAATTTTTGGAGGCATACCAAATGTAATAGTTTACTTTGATGACATAGGAATATTAGGGGAAAATCCTAAAGATCATGATAACACGTTGTTACAAGTACTTCAGCGGGCTCAAGAAAATTGAATACGTTTTAACCCGAACAAAGTTCAATATAGGAAACAAGAAGTTGAATTTATGGGTCATATTTTATCAGAAGGGCAAATAAAACCTCAAAGAAAGCATTTAGAAGCCATTCAGAATATTAAAATAAACGAACTCAATGACTTGCTTAGAACTATAACAAGTGATCCGATTTTAGCCGTTTATGACAGCGCTAAGCCTGTTGTCATTCAAACCGATGCCTCAAAAAACGGTCTCGGTTGTGTTATTCTACAAAACGGACATCCAATCAGTTTTGCGTCACGTACGCTTACAAAGAGTGAACAAAAGTGGGTTCAAATTGAAAAAGAGCTTTTAGCAATTGTTTTTGCGTGTGAAAGGTTTCACTACTATGTCTACGGTAGAGAATTTTTAGTAAAAAGTGACCACAAGCCTCTGGAAGTCTTATTAAGCCGTGACATTGACTCAGTAACAATGCGATGACAGCGAATGCTGCTATATCTTCTAAAATACCCAAAAATGTCCGTAAAATATAAACCTGGAAGAGACATGTTAGTTGCAGACTGTTTATCTCGAGCTCAACTACCGGATGAATCAGACATCCCGGAACTGGCCAATGTAATTCATATAATAAGCCAAGCAGCCTGTTTCTCGCAAGAAAATTGTGAATGCTATCTTAGGGTTTTGGAAAACGATGAAAATTATTGGAAAATAGCTGAATTTGTTAAAAATGGGTGGCCATCATTCCATAAATTAAACCAATTTTGTCAAAACTTCTATAAATTCAAATCGGAACTACACTTTGAAAACGGTCTTCTATTTCGTGCTGGTAGGCTGGTGATCCCGTCCAAGTTACAGAAATCAATCTCAAACCAAGTTCATGAGTCCCATTTAGGTGTGGAGAAAACCTTAGCTCGAGCACGAAAACTTTACTACTGGCCAGACATGAGCGTACAAATTAACATAGATACATACAAGTTAACATAGAAGAAAACATAGATCCCTTAAGTAATAGCACCTTTGTAAATTTAAGTAACATTGATACCTCAGTGGACTATGAAGCCCCTGGAAGTTTCAGTTCAGAAGAAGAGGTAGAACCAACAGTATCACGATCAGGAAGAACTATAAGACCACCCAAAATATATGGTTGGGATTAAAGTTGTTAAATTAAAAAAAAAAGAAAGCGTGTAATAATAGTGAGAATGCATTATTCTCATAATTAGGTAGTAAATGTTAATAATGTATAAGCTCATATTGAATGTACGTATGTTCATTAGAGACGGTCACACTGGACAAGCCCTCTTCCGTTTCAAAAGTGGCATCAATAAAGACACGCTTCAATACACGTCTTACAAAATCATTAATAATCTGCATATCAACGATTATTACATGGTGTCAGAAGTGAAAATATCAATTGCAAACTAAAAAGGAACAAAATGGAGCGAGTTCTACAAGAAATCGACTGCTCAATGCTGGCATATGAGTGGCCAAAATGGAAGAGGTCGTTTATCATGTACATTATGGCGTCAGGCAAAGACTCAGAGCCAGAAGCCAAAAAGATTGCCATATTCCTATGGTTGGCTGGATCAAAGGTCACGGAAATATACAGTACATTGTTTCCCAACGATGGAACCCCACATGGCATGGTCGGCACCATGGTGACGTCTTCAGACCCGTCTACCTCTGCCGCGGTCGTCAGCCGTACACTGGAGGACGTACTAAAGGCATTCGATGACTACAGCATCCCGTTCCGAAACATCACAATGGAATCCTACAAATTCAACAACATTGTTCAAACTGAGGGACAGCCTTTCATAGAGTTTGAGACGCAACTCCGCAAGCAGGTACAGTTTGTGACTACAAATGTGACTGTGGCCGAACATGCGAAGAACGTATGTTGCTAGACCGCTTCATAATTGGCATTCAAGATAAAAGGCTGCAGCCTAAACTCCTTGAATCAAAAAACAAGAAACTCGAGGAGATCATCACTGAGTGCAAAGCCTTTGAAGCGGCCGCAAAAAACAATGAATTTCTACGGAATCCCCATTATGAAAAGTCCGTTGACGCAGTTGTCCGTCGCTGCTATAATTGCGGAGCAATTTTCAACCCGAATCATCTTTCCGAGTGCCGTGCAAAGGAAATGGCATGTTACTATTGCGGAAAAATTGGACATTTTTCCAAGTACTGCAAGCAGCAGAAGAAACGAGTGGATAACAACAACTACAACATCAGCAACAAACGAGTGGATAACAACAACTACAAAAGCAAGCAGATAGATGTGGATCGCAAGCAAACAGCCGGAGCAGTTATTAATTGGATAGAATCAGGTAAAAGTAAGGAAAGAGTATTTAAATCAGAGGCTTACATTAATGAAAGTAATTTTAGAATAAGCGAGTGCGGGCTAAACAGAGTAAGATGGACGATAACATATAAAATAAATCGAAAGAAATCGAAGTGTTACGTTTAAAGTGGACACAGGCGCTGATGTTAACTGCATCCCAAGTGATTTAGTTAAAGAATTAAAACTTGAAGTTAAAAAAGAAAACATTCTAATTTTTGACTATAATAATGTTAAAGTTAATAATTTTGGAAAGGTTAAAGCAAACTGTTATGATCTGAATTCAGAAACAGGAAAATGTTATGAATTTTTAGTTGTTGATGCGAAATGTGAACCACTATTAGGTCTTAAGTCCTCTGTAGAAATGAAACTCATTAAACATTTAAATATTGATTCAATATGTAGATTACCTCAAACCAGGGAGGAATTTGTGGAAAAATTTAGTCAATTATTTCAGGGACTCGGTAAGCTGCAAAAGAAACAATCAATCATTTTGAAGGAAGGTGCTCAGCCTGTGCTCCATTACAAAAAAAGGTTCCCACAAAGTTTGTTAGGGTCATTGGAGCAAGAGTTAAATGCTATGGTAAAGGAAAAGATAATCTCCCCAGTAACATACCCGACTAGTTGGGTGAACAATTTGCAAGTAGTGGAAAAATCAAACGGAAAACTCAGACTTTGTTTAGACCCTAAGCCGTTAAATAACGCAATTGAAAGAGAACATTACCTTATACCAACAATAGATGATTTTATGATACAATTAACTCGGAAAAAGGTTTTTACTATCCTGGATCTGTCCCATGGATTCTGGCAAATGGAGCTGGATGAAGCTAGTTCAGATTTAACGACATTCATGACTCCATTCGGGAGATTTAAATTTAACCGGGTTCCATTTGGAATCAATAGCGCTCCTGAAATGTTTCAACGAAATATGGTTCAAATTTTTGGAGGCATACCAAATGTAATAGTTTACTTTGATGACATAGGAATATTAGGGGAAAATCCTAAAGATCATGATAACACGTTGTTACAAGTACTTCAGCGGGCTCAAGAAAATTGAATACGTTTTAACCCGAACAAAGTTCAATATAGGAAACAAGAAGTTGAATTTATGGGTCATATTTTATCAGAAGGGCAAATAAAACCTCAAAGAAAGCATTTAGAAGCCATTCAGAATATTAAAATAAACGAACTCAATGACTTGCTTAGAACTATAACAAGTGATCCGATTTTAGCCGTTTATGACAGCGCTAAGCCTGTTGTCATTCAAACCGATGCCTCAAAAAACGGTCTCGGTTGTGTTATTCTACAAAACGGACATCCAATCAGTTTTGCGTCACGTACGCTTACAAAGAGTGAACAAAAGTGGGTTCAAATTGAAAAAGAGCTTTTAGCAATTGTTTTTGCGTGTGAAAGGTTTCACTACTATGTCTACGGTAGAGAATTTTTAGTAAAAAGTGACCACAAGCCTCTGGAAGTCTTATTAAGCCGTGACATTGACTCAGTAACAATGCGATGACAGCGAATGCTGCTATATCTTCTAAAATACCCAAAAATGTCCGTAAAATATAAACCTGGAAGAGACATGTTAGTTGCAGACTGTTTATCTCGAGCTCAACTACCGGATGAATCAGACATCCCGGAACTGGCCAATGTAATTCATATAATAAGCTAAGCAGCCTGTTTCTCGCAAGAAAATTGTGAATGCTATCTTAGGGTTTTGGAAAACGATGAAAATTATTGGAAAATAGCTGAATTTGTTAAAAATGGGTGGCCATCATTCCATAAACTAAACCAATTTTGTCAAAACTTCTATAAATTCAAATCGGAACTACACTTTGAAAACGGTCTTCTATTTCGTGCTGGTAGGCTGGTGATCCC